TAGTAGTAGTAGTAGTAGTAGTAGTAGTAGTAGTAGTAGTAGTAGTAGTAGTAGGCGTAGTAGTCGTAGTAGTATTAGTAGTAGTAGTAGAAGTGCTAGTAGTCGTATTATTATCAGTAGCTGACTTGTAAACGCAGAAACCTTGGAACACGGGAATTGCATCGTGACTGGCACTGTACCCGAGGAATTCGCAAGAGGGACCAGCGAATTTCATGTCTCTTCTTCCTATCTTCTTGATCTTCCGTAACAAGGCGTTCCGCAGGGTGTGTCGTAATTCGCATGAGCCTGGGCATGAGCACTCTCCTTCTCGAGTCCACTGGAAATCCGATGCCACTCGGGGTGTGTGAATCTCACATCCATTTGGTGGGCGTCGAAGGATCAGAGCCCTCGACGGCTGGGAGGATGTCGGATCTCCGTAGAAGAGTTTGCATTTGGCTGGGGCCCCCCATGAGGCCCAACGTATCCAAAAGGTGAGGCTTCCTGTTGGCGTGATCGGCCGATCCGACTGCAGCCTGATCGAGGCTTCGATCACGAGTAGTTCCGAGTCGCTCCCTCTCAGAGCACAGGCTTCCGAGTTCGGGGTGGATGAGTGGATTCTGATGCGAATTCCGCTTCAGAGCGATCCGACTTGGTGATGTTGATTTGGATTCGACGTGAGGCGCCGTCTTTCAAAAACATTTATAGACGGGGACAAGTGTGCACCGTTTGACTGCGTCCGTCGTGATTTTCCATGCGGTTGCAAATTCGGTGTCCCGCCAGGCTGCACGTCTCGCTCGCCGTTTGGTCGCTCGGGCTGGCCACGATCATTCTGTGGTTCTCTGGGGGACTTTCGGGGACCCTGCGTCAGTTTTCCGACAATCGAGGGGGCGCAATCATGGCTTCGCGGCCGCGTGGACCAGCGACGTGTCCCGCTTCCGTACCCAGACCTGGCGCGCCCCGCCGCCAAACGAGGCGGCACAGGCTTCATTTTTCCAGACAGGGCCCGAGCCCAGGGCTTTCTTGTAGAAGGAAGCTGTCCCCGGCCACGTTCGAAGAGGGAGGGCCGGCGGACTTGTTTGTGGTAAGCAACGACGCCGGAGAGTGCCGGCGGATTAAGATTTGAGGATGTTCCGAGCGAAACGCTGGTTTTCCTAGAAATGGCGTGGGCCCAGGGTTTTCTTTTTGTTGGTTACCCCCCCGGCCTCGACTTGCGTAGGCCCGGCGAAATTATTTGCGGTGAGTGACCAGGTCGCTTAGGGCCAGCGAATTATTTTTGAGAATGTCCCGAGCGAAACGCTTGTTTTGCAGAACTTGTTGAGGATGTCTCGAGTGAAACGCTCGTTTTGTGTTATAGATTGTCTTCTCCCAGGGACCAGAACTCAGAGGATCTCTCAAGTGAAATGCTTGTTTTCACGTGCCAAGGTCTTGATGATGTCTTGAGCGAGACGCTTGGTTTCACGCGTCCAGGTTGCCCAGGCAGATGTCTAGCACTAGGATGTGTTGAGGACGTCTCGAGCGAGACGCTTGTTTTCACGCGTCCAGTTTGCCCAGGTGGATGTCTAGCATGAGGATGTGTTGAGGATGTCTCGAGCGAGACGTTTGTTTTCACGTGGCCAGTTCACCCAGGCGGACGTCTAACATAAAGATGTGTTGAGGATGTCTCGAGTGGACCACTTGTTTTCACGCGTCCAGTTCGCCCAGGCGGATGCCTAGCATGAGGATGTGTTGAGCGAAACGCTTGTTTTCACGTGTCCAGGTCGCCCAGGCGGATGTCTAGCATGAGGATTTGGGCAGGCTGTCTCGAGCGAAACGCTTGTCCCCAGCACGTTCCGTAGCGCGCCCCCTTGGCACGTCCCGCGGTGCGTCCCCATGGCACGTCCCCTGGCACGTTGCCTGGCGCGTCCCTTGGGACGTTCCGCGGCGCGTCCTCCTGGCATGTCCCCCTGTCCACTAGCTCTGGGGCAGCTACTATGTGCTCAGACAGCTCGAGCTTGAGATCCAGATCAGTTCGGTCAGAACTCGGATGCAAAGGGGGACTCGATCCACAACCGTATATAGAGCACAATCGCGGAATGGCACATCGCAATTCAGCACGGCGCAGCGCAGCACAGCCCTTGGCACGGTACATCAAGATGGATACATTCGGCATTGCAACCTGGCACGTTCACTGGCACGTTCCGTGACGCGTCTCGTGGCGAGTCCCCCTGGCACGTCGCGCGGCGCGTCCTGCGGCACGTCCATTGGCACGTTCCGTAGCGCGTCCCCTTGGCACGTCCCGTGGTGCGTCCCAATGGCACGTCTCCTGGCACGTCGCCTGGCGCGTCCCTCGGGACGTCCCGCGCCGCGTCCTCCTGGCATGTCCCCCTATCAACTAGCTCTGGGGCAGCTACTATGTGCTCAGACAGCTCGAGCTTAAGATCCAGATCAGTTCGGTCAGGACTCGGATGCAAAGGGGGACTTAATCGACAAATACTTTCGGTTGTTGCGTATTTATCGAGCGAAACGCTTGTTATGCCAGGGGGTATCTAACATAGTTGTCCCTAGATGGAACCACGTGATTTCACGTGTCCAGGCCACCCAGGGGGGCATCTAACATGGTTGTCCCGCGCTGAAGCCGCGTGTTTGCAGGTGTCACGGCCATCCAGTGGGGTATCGAACGTGGCAGTCCCGAGCCTGAACCCTTTGTGCTTACCTGTCCAGGCCACCCCCGAGTGGTCTCGAACACGGCTGCCCCGAGCTGGAGCCACGTGCTCTCAGGTGTGCGGGCTGCCCGCGGGGTGGGTGTTGTGAATGTGGTCGTCTGGGCGGCCCCAGCGTGGGGGCTCACGAGAGCCAGGCAACATCAGTACAGCGATACGAGATGTGCCACCACTTGACACAGTTTTTTCGGCGGGTGATTTCCCAGTTTTTTCCCTTCTGGGATATCTGGAATTGTGCTCCCGAGCTGGAACCACGTGTTCCTTGTTCAGGCCACCCGGGGGGGTATCTAACATGGTTGCTCCGAGCTGGAACCCTATGTTTTCACGTGTCCAGGCCACCGGGAGGGATATCTAACATGGTGGTCCCGATCTGGAACCAAGTGTTTTTGCGTGTCCAGGCCGCCCAGGGGGGGCTAAGATGGTTGCCTCTTGCCCCTGGCTGGAACCATGTGTGTTCATGAGTCCCGGCCGCCCAGAGAGGCATCTGACATGGTGGCCACGAGCCGGAACCGCGTGTTTTCGCGTGTCCAGGCCACCCAGAGGGGTACCTCATTACACCAGAGGAAAACCCCAATCAGTGGATGGTTTTCGCTGAGGAGATGGACCGGCAACCCGGGAGCCCGGGAACCCAGAACCCACCGAAATCGGCCCAGAACCAATAACCGGGAACCCGGGAACCCGGAACCGGGAACCCGGAACCGGGAACCTGGGAACCCAGCCTGCTACCAAAACCGGCGGGAAGCTTTCGCCAAGTCTTTCAACTTCTGCCAGGGCCCCTTCAGTGCACGCACCGCTTGGGGAAGATGGTTGCCCTGAGCTGGAAGCATGTATGTTCTATGTGCGCGGGCCACCCAAGGTGGGGTTCAGGAGGGGAAAAAACACACAGACACAATTAATCGTTGATTCCCCAGAAAATATGGAAAATATGGGAAGCGAGGGGGAAGACAGATACCCAGAAAGTATGGGAAAATATAGGGGAATCTTTCTTTTTGTGTGTATTTATTTGTGTGTCCCAGGGCCCCTTCAGGGGTATCTAACATGTGGTCGCCTGGGCGCCCCCAGCGTGGGGGGGCCACAAGAGCCGGACAAAATCAATAACGCGGCACCAGATGCGCCACAACCTGACGTCGTTTCTTCGGCTGGTGCTTTTCCACGCACCCCTTTGGGATATCTAACGTTGTGGTTCCGAGCTGGAGCCACGTGTTTTCACCTGTCCAGACCACCCAGGTGGATATCTTACGTGGTGGTCCCGAGCTGGAACCACGTGTTTTCTTGTCCAGGCTACCCAGGGGCGGGGGATCTAACATGGTGGTCCCGAGCTGGAGCCACGTGCTTTACGTGTCCAGGCCACCCAGGGGTGTATTTATCATGGTGGTCCCGAGCTGGAATCACGTGTTTTCATTATCACTTAGTAGATAGCCGTTCCTGGGTGGTCTGGACACGTGAAAACACGTGGGTTCCGAATGCCCCAGAGCGGGATAAGCGTGAGAACACATGGTTCCTAACGCCCCAGAGCGAGACGGCGTATGCCCCTCCCCCCTCGGCGCGTCCCTTGGCTCGTCCTCTGTCGCGTTCCCTGGCTTGTCCCCTGGGGCTTTCCCTGCCCGTTCCGTGGCTCGTCCCTTGCCGCGTCTCCTGACACGTCCCTTGGCGCATCCCCTAGTGCGCCACTGGCGCATTCCGTGGCGCGTCCATTCGTCCTGCGCCCCGTGTCGTCTCGTCCCGCTTCGGAACCGAGTCGGATCTTGAGCTCGAGCTGATTGAGCGTCCCACACGTTTCGATTGCATCCAGTTCTGGGCCAGCTATACGATCAGACAACTCGAGGTAAAGACCCATACCAGTTCGGTCAGGATGGATTCGGATGCCACGGGCGACTTGATCCACAACACTATCGAGCACGACGCACTTCATTGCGGCATGACGCGTCTCGTTTCAGCACGGCACAGCACAGCACAGTCTTTGGCACGGTACATCACGATCGATGCCTTCAGCATTGCAAGTGCCTATCGCCCAACCAGGTGTCTTGAAAACGTAGCCATTCCTCGCGTTTCGAAATTCCTTTCCGGGGAAGGTCCGTGGATCTGGCGCCCGCGAGCCAGACCCACGGATCCCATAGCCATGTCAGCGTGCGCCCGACAAAAGGCCTATCCGAGGTTTGATCTTTCTGTCCTCAGCCACGTCGGCGGTCCTTCGGCGTCACGCCGAGGATCTACTGGGGATCTCCAGACGTCAGGGAGCTTCGCTGGAGCCTTCCCCGTGTCTCCTTCGAGTGTCGTGCATCTCGCGGCTGCCACTTGGAGGGCCAGCTGGTTCGATCGCAGGACGCGTCAGATCATTGCTGCCTGGTCGGGCAGACTGGAGCGTGCGCTCGAGGCAGATCCATGGGGCGACGCCTGCATCGCCGTGACGGACCAGAAGCTGGAGGCAGCCCGGGCTGATGAACCCTTTCGGGTATACCCTGCCGCGTGTTCAGAGAGGGCCATGGAGGATTTCGTCGCTCGGACGGCCATGCTTGGGCGCGGGCAACCTCCAGACGGCCTCGGCTTGAGAGGGACCCCAGGATTTTGCGCGAGAGTCCGTTTGGATGCAATCTGAGCCAACTTTGGGACCAGGGCTCTGTTCTGTTCTGACGTGTTCTGGCCCCAAGTCAGAGAAAGTCGCCTGGGGGCTGTGTTTCTCACGTAGGGAGCTCCAGAAACGCATGGTCTTTGGTAGATCTCGCCCTGAGCGGAAGCTGGTGGAAGTCAGATGGCGGCGGTTCCACCGGCGAAAGCAAGCGGAAGGTCGGCGGAATGCGGCGGACGCAGAATTGGGACGTCAGCATTTTGTGATTTCGAGTTTCCAGAGTCGCCCACGGTGTGGAGAAATTCTCCCAAGGCCGCAATGGCGCGGTCACCCAAGCCATTCATATGGTGCTGTGCGGGAGAAATTCTGGCATCAGAGAAAGTCCCCGCCCTGGATGGTCGGCGCTTATACTTGCTCGGCCGTGGATGTGACTGTCGTGCATTCGGTCTATTTGCTTTGGCGTCTTGCCGTGCGACGATGGAGCACGTTGCGACGGACCGCTGTCCAGGACGATCCCTAGGCCAGGGCGGTCGAGCCAAGCGGGTTGGTGGCCAGATGGCCTCGGCGTCGCCGTATCCAAGACCTGCCTCAGCCCCAGATCGCTTCGTCTTGGCCTCCCGCTGGCCGTCGCCGCTGGACGACGTCGTGTGCAAGGGGGGCACGTCTGACCGCGGCCGCGGGCCCCTTCGTCTGCATACTCAGGCCCCCAGAGTGGCGGCAGAGGTCAGGGATCCCGCACCCCAGAAGGGAGTCAGACCTGGCCGCTGCGGCGAAGGCGACGGCGACGGCGACTGGCGACTGTGGCGACAGGACACGGCAAGGCGGCCTCGGCCAGAGACGTGTGCGACCTCGAATTGTCCCCTACAGCCTCGTCTCCTTCAGCCACCCTGATTGCATCCCCCCTGTCTTCTCGGTCTCTTTCGCCTCTTTCCATGCCTCACCATCTCCATCTTCCTCTCGCTCACCGTCCGGTCCTATTTCTCTCACCCCCCCCTCTCCCCCTCTTCATCCCCAGCTCTCCCTCTTCCTTTCTCCTGCTCCCTCTGCCAACATCATTCTTCTTCGTCCTCCTTCTGCATTTCTTTCAGCGCGTCAGTGATGATCACCTCCACTTCGAATGGTGTCGTGACCAGAATGGGCGACGACGGCGCAATTTTGTTGCTGCGTGTCCAGGAGCGGACGCAGCGCAATTGACGAGGGATCCTGGCCCTGGAGGCGCGAACACTGTGATTTACGAGGGATCCTGGCCCTGGGATCGCGGACATAGCGTGCAAATTTCGAGGGACCCTGGTCATGGGAGCGCGGACGCAGCGTAACTTAGGAGGGATCGTGGCCCCGAGAGCGCGGACCCAGCGTAATTTCGATGGATCGTGCCGGAGCGCTGGCAATTTACGAGGGGTCGCGGCCCTGGGAGCGCGCACTCGGTGTATCTCCAGGAAAAGGGCGGGGGGGGGGAGGGCGCAAGAGCGCCCCCGAACGCACATCCCAGCACGGACACGTACTGATTGCTTTCTGCTCTGGGGAGGGGGGGCGCCCTTTTGGGCAGCCTTCGCGCGGTGCTTCGTGACCCGGGGAGCGCGGACGCGGGTCGTGGCCTTGGGAGCGCGAGCCCGGCGTGCTTTACCATGGCTCGTGGCCCTGTGAGCGCGAGCCCAGCGTGTCTTACGATGGATCGTGGCCCTGAGAGCCCGAACCAACCCAGAGTGCTTTACGGTGGGTCGTGGCCCGGAGGGCGCGGACGCAGCGTAAGTTGCAATGGGTCGTGGCCCTCGGAACGCGAACCCAGAGCAACTTGAGGGGGACCGTGGCCCTGGGAGCGTGACTAACTTTTAACTTGCGATGGGTCGTAGCCCCTGGGAGCGCGGAGCCAGCGTAAATTTGCCAGGGAGAGTGGCGCTCGGCGCTCGGACCCAGCGCAGTGAGCCAGGGGACCGTCGCCCTGGAAGCGCCGAGGCAGCGCACTTCACGAGGGATCGCCGCCCTGCTGGCGTGGGCGCGGCCCTGGGAGCGCGAGCCCCGTGCAAGCTACAGGGGCCCTGGGAGCGCGAACCCCGCGTAGTCTACAAGGGCATCGTGGCCTCGGGAGCGCGACCCCAGCATACTCTACAGGGGGATCGTTGCGCTGGGAGCGCGAACCCAGCGTAATGTGCGGGTGATCGTGGCCCCGGGAGCGCTGGAACGGCGCAGTTCACGAGGGATCGCGGCCCTGGGGGCGCGGGCGCAGCGCGAACTGCGAGTGATCGCGGCCTTGGGAACGCGGTCCCGCCGTAATGCGTTCGTTTCTGGGTCCGTAGCGTGTTGCCCCTTTCTGGGTCCGCCGGGTTTGGGGGAGCGCGGGTCTGGGGGAGCGGGGGGACTGGGGGGGTCAGCCCTCTCCCCCCCGCTCCTGTTTATCTTCTGCGTGCATTCAGTGATCCTTCGCTGATTTTGACGCGCGTACCTTCATCGTACCTTCGGCGTTCAATAACGTGTCTTAGTAAACGCAACGCAGACACCGCGTACTTTCAGCGTACGTTCGGCGTACCTTCAACCAGGGTGTCCGACGTGTCTTCAGAGTACCTTCGGCAGACCTTCGGTATACCTGGGTAATTCACCCGGAGCCGAGTGTAACTTACGATGCATCTTGGCAATCGGAGCGCGCACCCAGCGTAGTTTACTGGGAGTCGTGGCACTGGGAGCGCGGACGCTGCGTACTCTACGAGGGATCGTGGGCTTGGGGGGCGGACGCAGCATCACTTACTAGTGATCGCAGCACTGGGAGTGCGGGCACAGCGGAATTTGCGATGGCTCGTAGCCCAGGGGAGCGCGGACGCAGCGTACTTTGCGCGGGATCGCGTGGTCCTTGACGTCTCGACTACTGACGGGGCGCGGAGGTCCTAGGAGGCTCCAGGCCATCCGCGGCGCGTCCCTTGGCGCGTCTCTGGCGCGTCCCGTGACGCGTCCTGTGGCACGGTCCCTGACGCGTCCCCTGGGACGACCCCTGGCGCGTCGCCCCGCACATTCCCTGGCACGTTCGGTGGCGCGTCCCGAGGCGCGCCCCCCTGGCACGTCGCGCGGTGCGTTCCCTCGCACGTTCCGTGGCACGTCCATTGGCACGTTCCGTAGCGCGGGCTCTTGGCACGTCCCGCGATGCGTCCCCGTTGCGCGTCCCCTGGCAGGACCCCTGGCGCGTTCCTGGGGACGTTCCGCGGCGCGTCCCCCTGGCAGGTCCCTCGGCGCGTCCCGTTGCATGTCCCTTCGCCTCTGCGTCACGGCACAGCCCCTAGCACAGTATCATCACTATAGATCTCTTCAGCATTGCCACTGCCTATCGCCCAATTGAGGTCCTCTGAAACGTTTCCATGCCTCGCAGATCGAAATCCCTTTCCGGGTTCATGGGTCGATCATGTTCGCTCCTGGTCATTCTTCTTTCCATGGTGACCTTTACTGTCCTCTTTTCTCGTTCCATTCCTCGTGGCCCACTTCTGACTTTTTCCTAATTGTTGTTCCATTCTCCCCGATCCCAGGTGCGCCTCAGTGGGAGAGATTGGCAGAACTACCACCTGCAGGCGTCGGCGGGCGCTCGTAATCAATATCACCAACTTCTTCCAGAAAAAAACATGGGCCCAGGATTTTCCTTTTAGATGGCAATCTGTGCCCCGCCTCGACTTGCGTAGGGCCGGCGAATCTGTTTTCGACGAACAATGAGGTCGCGTAGGGCAGGCGAATTAATCAGTCGATGATGTCCCTAGCGAAACGCTGGTTTTTGAATTTCCGATAGATAAAACGCATGGTGAAGTGAACATTTTCGTTTGTTGCGAATGTCTCGAGCGAAACGCTTGTTCTGCAGAATTGGTTGAGGATGTCTCGAGCGACACGTTTGTTTGTCCTATACATTTCCCCTCTCCTGGGGGCCAGGATTCAGAGGATGTCTCACGCGAAATCCTTGTTTTCAGGTGCGTGCCCAGGTCGCCCAGAGGGGGGGTATCTAACATGGATTTCCCCACATGGAACCACGTGTTTTCACGTGTCCAGGCCACCCAGGGGAGTATCTAAGATTGTGGTCCCGCGCTGGAGCCACGTGGTTTTCACGTGGCCAAGCCACTCAGGAAAAAAGGGTATTTAACATTGTTGCCCCGAGCTGGAACCATGTATTTTCAAGTGTCCAGGCCAGAGGGGTATCTAACATGGTTGCTCCGAGCTGGAACCACGTGTTTTTACGTCTGCGGGCCACCCAGGGGGGGGTATGTAACATGTGTTCGTCTGGGGGCTCCCAGCGTGGATGGAGGCCCACAAAGGCCAGACAACATCAATAACTCGACATCAGATGTGTAATAACCTGGCACAGGTTTTCCTGCGGGTGATTTTCCAGATTTCGTTCCTGGGGTATCTAACATGGTGGTCGAGCTGGAACCGCGTGTTTTCACGTGGCCATGCTACCCACAGGCATCTGACATGGTGGCCCCGAGTTGGAACCATTTGTTTTCACGTGCCCAGACCACCCAGAGGGGTATCTAATATGGTAATCCCTCGCTGTAGCCACGTATTTTCACGTGTCCAGGCCACCCAGTGGGATATTTATCATGGTGGTCCCGAGCTGGAACCATATGTGTTTACATGTCCAGGCCACCCAGGGGGTGATATCTAAGCTGCCAATGGCCCCTCGCTGGGACTACGTGTTCTCACGTGTCCAGTCCACCCAGAAGGGGTATCTAACATGGTGGCCCCGAGCTGGAACCACGTGTTTTCACATGTCCAGGCCGCCTGGAGGGGTATCTGCTTTTGTTGCCCCGAGCTGGAACCACGTGATTTTACCTGTTCGGGCCACCCAGTGGGGGGTATCGAACATGTTGTCGTTTGGCCCCCCCTCCCAGCGTGGGGGCCCACAAGAGCCTGACAACATCAATGCCTAGACACCAGATTTGTAATAACCTCACACAGTTTCTTCGGCTGATGTTTTTCCAAATTCCTTATTGGGGTATCGAACATGGTGGTCGAGTTGGAACCACGTGTTTCCTCGTGTCCAGGATACCCAGGTGGATATTTATCATGGCGGTCCCAGGCTGGAGTCACGTGTTTTCACGTGTGCCGGCCACCCAGGGCGGTATCTAACATGGTTGCCCCGAGCTGGAACCGCGTGTTTTCACGTGTCCAGGTCACCCAGTGGGTTCTAACATGGTGGCCCCGAGCTGGAACCATGTTTTTTTTTGTACCGGCCCCAGCCAACCAGGGCGGTATGTAACTTGGTGCCCCGAGCTGGAACTATTTGCTTTCACGACCGCGCGTTAAAGATCCGCCCCTGTATGGCGTGGTCACGTGAAAGCACGTGGGTTTCCGACTCCCCAGAGCGGGACAAGCGTCACATGTTTCCTAGCGTCACGGAGCGAGACGGCGTACAGTCGGGGCGTTGACCTAAGGAACCCTAAATAAGGAACGGGGCCCCTTTTTTTTTCATAAGTTAAACTTCGATTTCCGATCGAAAACATAAGGAGGCAGGCTGCGAAACAACCAAGGAACGCCGAGCCCCTCCCCAACAAAAAGGGTTCCTTCTTCCGGGCCCCGACTGTATGCCCCTCCCTCCTCGGCGCATCCATGGCTTATCCTCTGTCGCGTTCCCTGGGCCTCTCCCCTGGCGCTTTCCCTGCCACGTTCCGTGGCGCGTCCCTTGCCGCGTCTCCTGACACGTCCCTTGGCGCATCCCTTAGTGCGCCCCTCGAGGTCGACCGGGGATACCGCATAGCCTGCTCAGCTATGGCAGAGACGGAGTAAGTACATAATTCGAGTAATCATGCTTCTCCGATGTCTCGATCAAAAAAAAGTGCGCCCCTGGCGCATTCCGTGGCGCGTCCATGCGCCCTGGGCCCCGTGTCGTCCCGTCCCGTTTCGGAGCTGAGTCGGATCTCGAGCTCGAGCAGATTGAGCATGACACCCGTTTCGACTGCAACCATTTTTTGCCAGCTATGCGTTCAGACAGCTCGAGCTTAAGATCTAGATGAGTTCGGTCAGGATTCGGATGCCAAGAACGACTTGATCCACAACACTATTGAACACAACGCAATTCATTGCGGCATGGTACATCTCATTCCAGCACGGCACAGCACAGCAAAATCCCCGGCACGGTACATCACGATCGATACTTTCTGCATTGCAGTTGCCTGTCGCCCAGTCAGGTCTTTTGAAGACGCAGCCATGCTTCGCGCTTCTAGATTCCTTCAGGTTGGTGGGTCGAACATGTTTCAACATCGTGTTGTCCTCATCCACTGCAGCTATCACCAAGTCTTCATCAGGCGCTGTCGACCAAGCAAAGCGCTCGTCGGCAGCCAAGTCCATGGCCTTCCAGAGTCATTCGTGCCGTGGTCGCTTGTCGCCGGCAGCGCGGGTGGCTCTGTCACGGCCGCTGTCCTTGCTGGCTCGCAGCGCAGGCGTGCTGGACCAAGGTCCACGGCACCGAGATGCCGTGGCCAGTGGCCCATGGCCCGTGGTCCCAGCCGTGGCCAGCGGAGGCAGCTGTCGTTGGCCCGTGGCCCTCGTCGTGCCCAACGGAGCCGGTCGTCCATGGCCCGTGGGCCGTGGGCTGTGGCTACGCTGTTGTCCATGGCCTGTGGCCCGTGGCCGTGGCCGCAGCCAACGGACTCGGTTGTCCATGGCCAGGCGCCCTCGCCGTGGGCATCGGGTGCCCTCCCGCCTGTGGCCTAGGTCGTGGTCAGTGGAGCCAGTTGTCGGTGGCCAGTGGCCCGTGGCATTGGCCCGGGCCAGCGGCATCGGTTGTCGGTGGCGCGGCCCCGACCGTGGCCAACGGAGTCGGTTGTTGGTGGCCTGCGGCGTCTCGCGTCGTGCGCGGCCTCGGGCACCCGTGCTGGAACGAGGCAGTGGCTGCCGCGGCTTCTCGGCATGTTGCTGCCGGACTCTCCAGGGAGGCGTCACTTCTATTTTATCCCTCTACGCTTTCATTTTTCCCTCTCGGCTTTTTGCACTCCTTTTTTTGTTCCCCCCCCTCTAACGCTTTTTTTCCCCCCCCCCCCTCTCCGTCTTCCGCGGGGGGGGGGAGCCCAGGCAGTTGATTTGTATACCTGGGCGGCCTTCAGGGGGAGAATCTGTCTGACCGGGGGGGGAGGGCTGCGGTTTCCTCTGGAGGTAGCGCGGCGGGGAAGGGGCTCGGGGGGGGGGGGCGGAGTCTGAGCGGGGGGTGGGGAGGGGTGCGGGGCTCTCAGGAGGCCGCAGATAGTCGCATGTATGCGCAGGCGGCCTTTCAGGAGGCCCCTCGGGGCTCCCCGCGGACTTCAGGAGGCCCCTCTGGGGCTCCCCGCGGAAATTCTTGAGTTCTCCGTCTACACTTCTTTTCTTCCCCTCTTCGCTCTCTTTTGTTTTTCCCTCTCGGTTCTTTCCCTCTACACTCTTTCTCTTTGCCTTTTCACTGTTTTTTTGTTCCCTCTCGGTCGCCCCCGCCGGGGCCACGGCTCGAGACGTCCTCACAATTTTGTCGCACAACACTTTTTTCTTTCCCTCGTCACTTTTTTCCCCCCTCTCGATCGTCCCCGCGTGGGGGGGGGGGTTCGGAGAGGGGGGGGGGGGGCGGAATCTGAAGGGGGGGGTGGATAAGGGGTGCGGGGCTCCCTGGAGGCCCCAGATAGTCGTTCTGCATACACAGGCGGCCTTTCAGGAGGCCCCTCGGGGCTCCCCGCGGATTTCAGGAGGCCCCTCGGGGCTCCCCGTGGAAGTCCTGGATTTCTTCCTCTACACTTCTTTTCTTTCCCTCTTCACTCTTTTTTTTCCCCCCCTCTCGGTTCTTTCCCTCTCAACTCTTTTTCTTTCTCCTTTTCACTCTTTTTCCCCCCCCCCCCCCCCCCCCCTCTCGGTCGCCCCCGCCCAGGGCCGCGGCTACCTTTCGTATGGTGATCCCCAGGGTTCGCCCCCCGCGCGCACGAAGTAGCAATATGCAAACACTCTGAGTCTGGCGCCGGAGATCTCAGCACGCCTTTGGCCCGTGGGGCCGGCGAGTATATAAGGAACAGGGACGAGCAGGAGGGCGATGAAGACGAGGAGAGGAGAGGAGGAGGAAGAAGAAGAGGAGGAAGAGGAGAAGGAGGAGGATGAGGAGGATAAGGAGGATGAGGAGGATGAGGAGGGTGATCAGGAGGATGACCGGCGAAAGCCCCAAACGCATCAACGATGCTGCAATAAAGCCTCCCTCCAAATTCATTCTTCACATGTCCCTGCAAGAATGTATTTTCATCACGGGACCTTCTCCATGGGAAAACAACAGATCGAGAATCCTTAATCGCACCAGAACGCAAATCCTGGGATTTGAGCGCCACGGATCGACGTGAGTGATGCGTCCTGACAGTCTTAAATCTTGCCAGAACACCATTCTTGGGACTTCAACACAGTGAATTAACGTGACTTCTGCGTCCGGACAATGGGCCAGAACACCATTCCTGGGACTTCACCCACACGAAGCCCTGAACTTGCTGCGAACTTTTACGAGGAATGTGCGCGGCGCTAAGGCGATATCCACGTTTTGAAAATAGAACCGCCTTCCATCCGTGAAATCATCGCCAACTTTTAAGACGGATCTGCGCGGCGCTAAAGCGAGAGCCACATTTCGGAGAACCACCCGCCCTCTGTCCATGAAACTGTTGCGAACTTTGATGACGAACGTGCGCGGAGCCCAGGTGAGAGCCACATCTTGAAAACGGGCCATCCTCCATCCGTGAAGTTGTTGCAAACTATTGCGAATGTGCGCGGCGCTAGGGCGAGGGCCACGTTTTGAAACGGCCCGCCCTCAATCTGTGAAGCTGTTGCAAAGTTGAAGCTTCCTGATCACAAGTAGTGAGGAGGTCTCATGCGAAACGCCTGGCCCGCCCTACGGACACGCCTTTAGGTGCGACAGGAAGTAGTTATTTGTAAGGGCAAAGGATGGAGGAAGAGGAGGACGAGGAGGATGAGGGGGAGGAGGAGGATAAGAGGAGGATGCTGGCGCAGCTGGCGCCAGCTGACGTCGGCAGATGGCGTGTGCTCCCGCGCGCAGGGGTGGTGCCAGATGGCGCTCGAGAGGTTGCCCGTGCTGGCGCGCTCGCTCCCGGTGGACCTCGACATCTCGAACAACCAGATAAGCGACGCTGGGGTCGACCACCTCGTCAACTGCCTCACTAGCAGTGGTCCCCTCAGATCCCTAGGTCTGATCGCGCCGCAGAGAATCATGTTTTTTAGGTTTTTTTTTCTTGTCGCTTTCGGCCTCCGGTGGCCCTCGCGGGGCCCTGGGGCAGTGGAAAAAGGTCTCGGGCTGAAGAGCCGGCCCTGGGGACTTCTGGGGACCCCACACTGAAACATCCAGACATCGCATGTCCAGGTTTGGGGTCCCTTCTGATCCCTCCGCTCCTGCTCCTGCTCCTCCTCCTGCTCCCTCGCCTTCCTATCGCTCCTCCTCCGCGAGCCTGCGACGCTCGTCGACAGTCGTGCGGCGGCGGACGTCGGCCACGGCATTCTTTGAGTGCTCGCAGATGTTAGCTGCAGGTGGGGAGTTTGTTGTTTCTTGCTGTTCTGCGTAACCTCAGACATGGGCGTTGCCGCAGAAGCCGTGGCGGCCAGTCGTCTTCTGCGATCTCGGCCTCTTTGACACCCTCCTGCGGGCCCTGGGGCGGCCAGTGGGACGACTCGGGATTGAGAAGCCAGCGCCCTGGACGGGGTCGAGGACACCAGGGGCCTACGTCACGAACAAGATGCGACGTCGGGCCGTCGGCTGGGCATTCATGCGAGGTCGTCGTCTGCCCGGGGAGGGGGGTGATGGGCAGGAGCAGCCATGAGGAGTCAGGATAATGAAGGTGGGAGTGGTGGTGGTGGTAACAATCATAATGATCATGACGACGATGATGATGGTGCTGCTGCTGCTGATGGTGATGGTGATGGTGATGGTGATGATGATGTTGATGATGTTGTTGATGATGATGATGATGATGATGATGATGATGGTCATTTTGATGGTGGTGAGAGGAGGCGGAGTTTTTTCACGAGAAAGATGTGCGCGGCGGGGGGTGGATCACCAACATGCGCCTGGCGCGTGCGCGCTTGAAAATCCTGAAAGGATTTCTTATGGATCATTTAAGTTTCAACACGAGTGCGCGCGGTGCCAAGGCGAGAGCTCCATTTTGAAAACGAGCCATCCGTCTTTGGAGCCATTGCAAGCCTTTAAGACGAATGTGCGCGGTGCACTCCCCTCCATCCATGCAGCCGTTGCAAGCATCAAGGACGAATGTGCGCGGTGCTGAGGTGAGAGCGCCATTTTGACCCCCCCTCCATCCTTGTACTTCTCTCGAGCGTTCTGTCGAGTATACGCGGCGTCAATGCGAGAGCCCCATGTTGAAAACGACCCTTGCTCCATCCGTGTAGCTTCTGGAAGTTGCAAGCTTGTAGAACCCATACTTCAATCCTGTAGAATCCAGAGTTCAATATCGCAACGTGGAACGTCGAAGGTTTGACAGAGGACAAACTTGTACAAATCCCAGTGCACCTACAGGAAACGCGTACAAAACTATGAAACGTCTATTATTTCAACGGGTACTCTTAGGTGCCGAAGGGGATGGCAAAACGTACATTGGAGTGGGGTTTGTTATTTTGCTGGCCTCTGGCCAGTGCCGCCGATGCGGGGCGCTCTGGATAACGATGCTGATGATTATGACGATGATGATGATGACAATGATGATGATGATGATGATGATGGTGGTGGTGGTGGTGGTGATGATGCTGATGATGATGATGACGATGATGATGATCATCATGATGGTGATGATGCTGATTCGATGATGATGATAATGACAATGATAATGATGATGCTGATGATGATGCTGATGATGATGCTGCTGATGATGATGATGATGATTATGATGATGATGATGATGTTGCTGCTGCTGATGATGATGGTGATGATGATGATGATGATGACGATGATGATGATGATGATGATGATGATGATGATTATGATGATGATGATGATGATGATGATGATGCTGATTATGAGTATGATGCTGATGATTATCATGGTGATGGCCATGGGGCCATCTTGGGCTTTTCTTGGGCTGGGCGAAGCCATGTGGGAACATTTTGGGGGCCCCAGAGGGCGCGCGGGGAGCCTGAAGAGATTTGAGAGCTTGGGGTCCAGGCCCATTAAGAATCGTCAGGTGTGAGTATTGCAAACGTACATAGTAGGTGGGTTTGTTATGTGAGAGCGAGTCTGAGCACGAATCCGGTCGTGCAAGCAGACCTCAGACGGTCTCAGCCGTACAACATCCGAGTTGTGTGTTTTTATGTTTTAGAATATGTATGTACATTTAGTGTTTATTATATATATATATATATATTCTGCGTGTGCGCCCCCCGAATCCGAAGCCAACCGCGAAACAGTTGGCGGAGGAGAGGCGAGTGAGGAGGGAGGAGGGAGCAGGGACGAGGGAGGAGAGAGAGGAGAGATGAGGGAGGTGGGGGAGGAGAGGAGGATCAGCAGATTTTCCCAGATAGCTGTAACATAATTAGGTCCGCGATTGAAATCAACTGTAACGTTCGGAATCGTACGAATCGGACGGATACGCAACACATCGCTACACATCGTTCGGGGAATACTTAGTACGATGAGTCATACTATCACTTGTGTCAGTAATAGTGAGTTCACTGATGGTGGGCAGTGGAGAAGGAAGAGGAGGAGGAGGAGGAGGAGGAGGAGGAGGAGGAGGAGAGGGGAGGAGGAGGAGGAGGAGGAGGGAGGAGGAGGAGGAGGAGGAGGAGGAGGAGGAGAGGAGGAGGAGGAGGGGGAGGAGGAGGATATTATGAAGATGAGGAGGAGGATGAGGAGAGGGGAGGAGGAGGAGGAGGAGGAGGAGGAGGAGGAGGAGGAGGAGGAGGAGGAGGAGGAGGAGGAGGAGGAAGGAGGGAGGAGGAGGAGGAGGAGGAGGACGAGGATGAGGAAAGAGGAGGGAGGCAGAGCCGGCCGGAAACAGGTATGGGCGCGGGGTGTGGACGCCAGCGGGGAGGGAGGGAGGGAGGGAGGCAGGGAGGGAGGGAGGGAGGCAGGGAGGGAGAGAGGCAGGGAGGGAGTGAGCAGGGAGGCAGGGAGGGAGGAGGGAGGAGGAGGGAGGGAGGGAGGGAGGCAGGGAGGCAGGGAGGGACAGGGGAAGGCAGGCGGGAGGCCCCTCCCGCGCGGCTCCGCCTCCCGAGGCGAGCTGGCGGGCGTGCGCCTGTCGTCGCTGAAGCTGCACAGGAACAGGCTGGAGAAGGGGTCGGGCGCTCG